TGTGGTGAGGTCGGTGTGGTTGTAGTCCATGCACAGCGTGTCCGGGTTTCCCTGTTCCGGCAGCCGGTCGCAGCGCATGCGGTCCGGCCAGGCGAAGCCATACTGGCGCATGAGGGGTGCGCATCCGGCCTTGGCGCGCTCGCACACCGAGCGGCAGGGAGGCAGGGGCTTCTTGTAGTCCTCCAGGCAGATGGGCGTGTACATGCTGCACAGGAAGAACTTGAGATCGGGCGAGCACTGGATTTCTACCAGCGGCCAGAACTGATGCACTTCCAGACCCGCCTCGTCCTGCGTGTCGTGGTTGAACTGGTTGGGCATGTAGGTGTAGTTATAGCCGATACCCTTGCACAGCGGCACGGTGATTTCTTGGCAAGCCAGCTCCTTGGCTGAGGCGGCCGCAGCGCCGCTGGAGCGCTGCAACAGCGTCAAGGCGGCCAGCACGGAGGTCACTTCCAACAGGTAACCCCACTCCATGCTTCGTTCCCTCGCCTTCCTGGCAGTGAACAGAGGGGCTCTGGAGGATCCAGAAAGAGAGAGAGAGAGAGAGCGAGCCGGAGAAGAGAGTGAGTGCCCTACTCGTCTTTCTCCTGTTTCTCTCGAGAGATTGTTTATCCGCCTAGTCCCTAATCCCTTCTCGGGACACGTCCACACAGCGCAGCCCGCCGCTTCGGGAAGATGAGGGTGGCTGCAGCAGTGCGCTACAGTTCCTAGGGGTTTACCCTGATCGAGCTCAGCCCTTTCGGAGCAGAGTGGCTGGCCGCCGGCTCATCGTCCCTCACTCGCGTTCTCTCCGCGTCGCGCCGGCGCCGGTGACTTGGCTGAGCGCAGAGGGCGGCGGCGCAGCAAGTTTCCTTTCCGGCCGCCGCGCGCAGTCAAGATGGCTGGGCCAGGCCGCTCCGGCGCGGGGTCAGCCCCTACGGACCCTTACGCCCCCCGGGGGTTCATGTTCGTTCCCAAAGCTGCTCTGCTGCCTCCGGAGTAGGGACCCGCCTCCACCGAGGCCCAGTCTCTCTCTCCACGGCGTCGGTCCGGTAAAAGTCCGCGCTCCAGCCGGCAATCGGCGAAGTGCAGGCAGCCCCCTCCTCGCTAGACATGCAGAATCAAATCCAGACCGGAAGGCGGAGCAGACACCTGAGCGGCTCGACTGGCGCCCACAGCTACCTCCTCTTCGGCCGGAGCTGCGCCCTTCACCGAACTTCCCTGTTGCGGCCCCGCTAGTCTCCGCGCCGTCTCATGAATATTTATACCGCGCGGACTTGGTTTCCGCCCTCGGCCGGGCACGCCAATCTCAGGGAACCGGGCGGAGTCTTCTCGCTCCTTAGGCCCAGCCTTCCTTAAGGCGGTCCAAGTGTCCGCACAGTCATGCGCGGAATCTGCGGCTGGAGAGTTTCGGTAACCTTGGGATTGACCGCAGAGATGGAGTTTTTGCCACGACTGCCACCCTTTGCCAGCCCGTTCCGCCCCGGCGCTCAATGCGTCTGAGGACTCGGTTCCATTTCTTTTTTTCTCGGTTTCATTTATAAGTCTGCACTTGGGGGACTGGGGACGAGGTTTTAACTCAGTGCACGCTCTCCTAGGCCCGTTTTAAACAAATTAAATCCCCGCTTAAGAGTCTCCCGAATGTGGGTGGCCTATGGGCCATGGGGGGCCCGCGCCCCTACGTGAGCTGGGGCGGGGCGCTGTGGGAAATTCGAGAAAGGGTACCCTGCTTGGAGTTCTCAGAATGATGGTCTTTGAGGCTTGGATATGTGGGAGAAACGGGAAAGATGGCAGTATATTTTGGATGGTGGGGTAGGACGGGGGACAGCCCGGACGGAGGTGTCCCGGCGCCCACCTGCGGACACGGGAGGGGCGGGAGGCACAGGGGCGGCCCCGGGGTTCTCCTGCCTCTGCCGAGTGACCTGGGCGGGCCTCCGTGTCCTTATTGGGAGAGCAAGGTAATATCTCAAAAGGGATTCTGATAATGAGATGAGATAAATATGTAAGGCACCGGGGACCCAGTTCTTCCTTAAGGAACATAATTCCCTTCACCTTAAAAAAGAATGAAAAACTTATAAATAGGACTGGAAACTGCGGCTGGATTCACTTTCCACCTTGTACTTTTGGAACATGTACATCTATCCAAAGTTCACGTGATTTGCCAGAGCTGCCTTCTCTTCGATGGGAGGTGGTGCTGCGCCCTGGAGCTGACGTGAGGGCAGGTCTCCATGGTCTGGAGAGTCGAGAGGGTCCTTGGCTGCTTTTAGCAACCACTGGGGACGCCGCCAACCAGTTGTGCCCGCGCTAGCTCCGCGACCACCTTAAGAAGTTGTTGTTGTTGTTGTT